TGAAACGTCCTGCGGACTTTATACCCTTCTGCACGCCGTTCCATGAAGAGGACAAAGGAAGTCAAGATTTCGAGTTCGTTAACGCCACCACAATTGAAATGTGGCGTGTGGCTGATGCCACATGTGTATTAAGGATAAACGGCAACTTTGAAGCTTTGATTTACGCAAATACCTTCCAAAGAAGACCGAAGCAGTGATTAGCTTACTGTGTCCCTCTTTTGACCAGCTTCGAACAGTAAAGATTATTTTTACCGAGTTTTCTAGATAGCTCTTATGGGAACGGCAATATAGACTGAGCTACATAACCCTAATCGCATAAGTGCTGTGATGTCGCGGAGTCATGATTAAGCTTGGTTGTTTGTAGAACACATTAAGGTTGCCAAAGTCCTTCCAGTCTTATGTGATAGCTTGCTATTCAAAAGTCGCACCATAGTTTTGGATTGTTGATGAAATGTAGCACCTATAACATGACCACTACCCCGAAATGGCTTACGAAAGACAGAAGTAGGTCCCATTCCCACACAGACTCATGTGTAACACCATCTCTTGTCTTGACGGATTTGGCTACCTCGCGCAACAGCAATATTGCATCCACTGGAAGCGATCGGGCACTACTAATCTACTGTAAAGGACAGTTGAACCCACACAGTCGATGTTGGTGTGGGTGTTGATTATGTGTACATTGACTTCCCTAAGGCATATTACCGGTTGAACCATTGCATCTTTGTAATTAAGATTCAGGGATACGGCATTTGTGATCCCTACTAAGGTGGTCTAGTTATTTTTTCTTGTACATGTGTCTGGAAGTGAACGTTCGCGAAATGGTCACAAATCCCGTACACGCTGAATGCGAGGTGTCCCGTCTGCGTGGTCCCGTCTGTTTCTGATGTTCAGTAACGAGACAGTGATGCTAATCATTTCACACTGTTTGGATTACACCAACAGCACATAACTTTGTCGATCGTTCGATGCTCAAGACCCCCGCTTATACAGCTTCAAAACGAAGTTGACAAGATTTGTGAATGGTCAGTTTACAATCGTCTTTGGTTCAACTTGACTAAATGTCTAGTACTCTATCTACGACACCAAATGATTCGTCCCTGTAAGCTTGGCTATCAGGATTGGTAGCGCTGTTATTCTGCGAAATTTCTCGGTGTACAAATTCAAGATGACCTTGATTAATCAGGGCAAGCAGAATTAGTATCATAAAAGGGCATCAAAAACAGGAATTTTCAAGAGCGTTTTTGGTCACTTCGCCTCATTTTCTTCCTCCAGCTGCTTTCTGCATACATACACCCGAACATGGAATAGGCAATTCAAGCATAGCAGCTATGACTGAAGCGGCCTTTCACTGTCTCGGAAATTCCAATATCGAGCCACCAGATATGTCAAAACTCTATGCCACTTACTTTACCAACAGGGCCTGAGTATTTTGGGAGTTTTCGGTGGAGGCTATCAGAGTTTGTGAGGTGATCAGATTTTAACAAACCCTAATCACATGTTTCATCAGACTGAGAAGTGACCGTCCCATGCAGGAAGGAAATAGCAGCTGGCTGGACTCTATACAGAATTTCTTCTTGTTAGTGTTTGCCACATATGCTATGCAATACCAAAACCTGTTATTTCACCCTTACACTAACTGCGTCCAACGATTCTATCAACAATGTGCAGGTAGCGTTATACCACATCATATAACATACCTGAACTATGATCCCATTCAGAAGACAAAATCGCATCAAACTGCACCCCTTTTTCTGCGAAAACCATAGGTGGTGAAATTTCGAGTTGTGTAAACCCATATGTGAAAGCTTCAGCTGGACAACATATTGCTCAGCAAGTCCGCTGTTTTCTGTTACGCTGTTTTCGTTTAAAAACCCGTACTCGGAATCCTGTGGGACATATTGATTTTTGTCTTCTTTGTCCACAATATCATTAACCATCACATTAGACTTGCAACAGGTAGGATAAGACTTTCAGCTGAGCGAAGAAAAAGAGTACATAGATTTCCATCTCAACAAGCGAATGTGTGAGTATGCAAATTGTAAGGGGGTGTGCATAGATGTGGGGGATCAGTTATTTCTCACGTGTTCAGAGAAGAGGTACCAGCTCATATATTATTATCTGTAGATTCGATCCAACTCGCGCAATCTATCAGCAAGTTCAGGGTGCATGAACGGTTTCGCTGAAAGCCTTGCCGATTGGGTTTGACGAATTCGAATTTTTTCAGACTGTCTGTTGGTGTTCCAAATCATAATCAGGTTGTGTGAGGATGCGCAATTATTTCGTAATAAGTTTGGAACCTACCTCGACCTGGACACGATTTTGACCACTTGTTCTTGGGACGCATCACCTACCTGATGATAGCCTCGATAAAACCTACTGGGTGAAACAGAACAATTCACGTAATGTAAGCACCTCTCAGTATCCACAATGTCCTCAAATCTCAATGACGCCATCTAGTTTAATGTTGCACACCAACATTTGAGACATCTACATGTCCAAGTACACAGACAGACAAACACACACTTGCATTTGCCTACGTAAGAGCGTGATATTTTATATATATATATATATATATATATATATATATATGGACAAAATATGGACAGGGCTTCTCACCTGATGCGAATGTACTTACTACAATTATTAGTACCGTTATCATTCGTAAATCCGTCTCAGTTCATTATAAAGATAGGCCCGGGTAGATATTGAGCGAACATCTCTCCAGACCTTAGCAGCCTCTGCAAATATTTGCACTGGCGATCGAATATTTGCTGGCAGATCATTTTTGCAGTCTAAAAACAGTAGAGGGCCGAGGAGGGCTTCGCGACACACCACTGGCGATGCACATACTTTCCAAGTGAGTGTCGGCGAATTTTGCCTTGATTGTTCTCTCGTGTGACTTATCTTCCAACCAAGTGAGCAAATAACCAGTGATATCGCAGGCAACAAGTTTTAAGGGAGAACTGAGTGTTTGACCTTATTGATTGCCTTCGGAAAGTCTGAGTAGATCACATCTAGGGGGACTCCATCATCAGCCGCCGTGGTCCATGAATCCCGAACAAGGAGTAGATTTGTGAGGCAAGATTGGCTGCGTCTGAAGCCATGTTGGACATTGGAAATCTCTTGCAGACGTTCAAAATATCGCCGCAGTTCATCTACGTCCAATAATGTGTATGAATAACTCACCCTACCACAAAGTAGCTCGGTGATTGGCGAAGCTCTTAGAACCCGTGCGTAAGCTCCTGAGCACGCATTGTTTGAATGACTCCTTTGAATTGGCCAATATACTGGAACAAACTACACTCGACGCGGAGCTCATGTATTCCATAGACGTGGAATCACTTTTCACGAATGTGCCCCTACGTGAAACGGTCGACGACCTAAGTCAATTTCTTTTGAGTCAGAACCTGTCTGTGAGCCTTCCTCTGGAGTTCTTGCGAGACTTGATATTGTTGTGCACTGAGAATGTGCGATTCCAGTTTGAAGAGACGGCATACAAACAGATTGACGGCGTCGCTATGGGTAGTCCTTTGGGACCAGTTCTGGCAGATATCTTTTTAGGTTTGATTGAAAGGAAAGCTGCTGCCTGCATTGGTGAAGCCAAGCTTTACAAGCGTTATGTAGATGATCATCTGTGATTATCAACCCCATAAGTTTAGAGAAACCAGGATGGGAGGTAATAAATCGGCACTTTACAGGATCCGATCGCTCCTCTTCTTTGTATATCGGAGTGATGATTTCACTCAGATGGGAGTGTATGAGAGTCAAGCAGACCCTGGAAAACAGCTGCAAGATATACTGCTATGGTGGAGGCAGATGTCAATCCCTATGTACTGTTGTCTAGGAGAGACTGCAACTTGTTTACAACAGCTGCTGTGATAAAGACGACGCTGGATAAGCAGGCGACATTTCCTAGGAGGTGATAGGGTGAAGGTTCCATGGTGTTTGTGGCAACTGAGCCAAGTAGCATGAAGAGTACTTTTGCGGTATTTACCACAGTAAACGTTAGATCACTAGCCGTCTTGCTTGGGGATATTCCAGTCCTAAGCCTTCTGTTATCATTCACATGACTGTAAAGCAGTTTGGTGTAGTCCGTACACTTGATCAGCATTGTCTCATCCCGTTAGCACTTGTCGGCTAAAATGACACTAACATATCAATGCAATTAATTTGTATTGATTTGCTGAATTCTGTAACAATTAACCTTGCTCCCATTCTACACAGTTTTAGCAAGTTGCGTTGGCTCAGGTCAGTGGACCCATGACTAAGTAAACTATTGGGCACGATAACTTTATGGTTGACTGGACAGATAGCGCTGTCTGGCCATAAATCAGTGAAGCCTTCTTTTGCGTGCTATGGCGGACTGGTCAAGTCATTAAGTTACAATCGTGTGCAAATCTAAGAATGCCACTACGAAGTTGTGGTGACTGTTACGTTCTAATTCGTCACCGATCAATTGACCACATGACTGAATCGTACAGTGTGACCACATCGATCAATGATAAAAAACGGGTATATGTTCTGATTAGTTTATGTGTCCCTTCTGTTTTTGTGTGATTTGATGTAATTGTTAGAATGCAGATACACACATTGCATCCACCTCAACGCCTTTGTCTTATAATCGGACTAAGCGTCAACGCATTGCAGTGATATCATCAAATAAAGTTTCGTTGGACGCGACCGGACAATGTTAATAAACCTGATAGTATAAGATTAACTTCTCGATAATCCAACAGAACTGTAGCAGACAAAGGGAAAAGTAGTGGCAAATCTCGATTTGACATAAAAACATCATATTTCAAATAAAAAATAACAAAAGTGAAACTTGCTCCCCTGTGTCTGTTTGGAATTCCTCATATTCATAATTAGCTTACCAAATCTCGGTTTTCAAGGTGGAATCTTGGTTAGTGTGGCTGCTGTACGCTATGCTCAAATTCGCACATAGCTTATCCAGCAACTTTAGTAATACGAATTCCCAAATCTTGAAAGGTGAGTGGCAGCTTAGTATTCACAACTGCGGATAACGAGCACTTGTCTTGTGCCAGCCACCGATAAGCAACATGATTCAGAAACGAGTCAAAGAGGTGGACTTCAAGTGAAATGCTAACTATACAATGCTGTCCAGGCTGGAAGCAGCTTCATGTTTGTACAGCAGATCACTTCCACCACGCGCAGCACGTTGTTCATATATAAGTGTCCGATGAAGGTCAGTTTGGAGCTGGGTTTTGTACTGTTTTTCTTGTTGTTGGGTATTTACTGGCAGTGTAGCAGGATCGTTTGCTATCAGTGTGGAGTATTTTTTGACGGAATAAATAGGGGGTATACATGTGGGAGAGAACCTAGCGCCTTGTCTGGTGTCTGAAGATACTTTCATGTTCTGGCGACCTGGCTCACTACTTGAGGAGTATTCAAAAGCAACGTTAACATTCTCCTCAGCGGGCGAGCCGGAAGCGTTGACCTGTGAGACAGGCGGGATTGCTGTGACTCGAGAAAGAAACAAATCCCAAAGTGCACTCGTTAGTTCACCGGCGATTGGGGAGCCGACATTCACCGAGACAAGCCATAAGAGAAATACGCCGTTTCTATCCAGATACTCATCTACAAACATGCGCAAATAATGCTTATCCAACTGGTCGAACGGTTGTTGTTCAAACGTATCAGAACTCTTCCAAGGGAACAGAAATTTGCAAATAAATTCATATCTGCTCTCCGGAATGCTCAATCGGAACAACCACTTGAAGAGGCTATACACCGTCAGCACCGCAACGAAAGTCAGCCAAAGCCAAAGAAACACGTAAACTTTTTCCAGAAACAAGTTCAGCGGCAAAACACACTGAAGTGTGTACCTGAAGTAGAAAAAGATAAGTAGCTGTTAAGTAAAATTGGAAAACACATACCATTGGTCTATAGCTACACAACGCTACCAAATACGGTGCCGATAAAATATTCTGTTGCTGCGTCTAGTTTTGGGTTCAGTGCAATGCCGTAAAGGACAACGGCATACAAAGAAGTCGGTGTTGGCGTCACTTCATACTCGATGTTCGAGTAATGGTTAATATCAGCTTTCTCTACACGGTCTGAGACTTCGTGAATTTATCGATGTAAGTGCTTGCTGAACAACAAAACGTTGTAGATGCATCTCCAAGAAGGAATCGACCGTGTGACCACGCAGTTGGTTTCGTCGAGGCGTAAATCTGAAATCTCCGAGAACAGTCTGAGTATGTTTTGTGTCAGTGTAGATATCCAAAACAAAACAGGATTATTATTGCTGAATGTGCTTTTAGCGGACGCCTATGAAATTTATAAACCTTGCATCTAAATAGCACCCTGCAGCTCCGCTTGCATCATAAAACTTGAGGAGGTGTAACCGAAGAAATAAATTCAAAATTGTTCATTCTGCTACGAGAGTAGCGTGACACCACAACTTGCAGTGACGCAGTTGCACACCATTTACGCAAAGCATTCACCATGGATACGCTTACGTTTGCAAGTTTGCATACAACCGCAGGCTACTCCGCTCATTCATATTTAAGCAGCTGAAAGATTTGTCGAGTTTGTGTAAGCGGCAAGCTGTCTCATTCCGTTGGGACAATGAAGTCTGCAAGAGATGGGTGTAAGCTCATGTGATGTGGTCTTGGCATCATGCGCATTCCTCTAGACATGTCGGATCACTGTTCCAGTCACACACACTCTAGGTAGGCAAGTCCATATACTCAGTTTATCTGTTAATATGCGAAAAAATCAAATTCGGGCTATCTTACTGAATCACTATTCACACATACCACTTCACACTCAGCCCACTCTTCCGACTTCATCCACGGCTTCGTTAAATAGTTATCAAGGTAGGTCGGCCATTATACAGGTGGCCTGTCAAACACTGTCCACAAGTGCCCGAGACAAGTGAACTGATGCCGTGGTGCACTGTGTAACGGTTGTACACTCATCGCTGATCGTATGATCCTAACTATTGGAACTGATTGGGCCTCATGTCGCAGCCTTCGCGTTGGCACTTTCTCACAAAGCACGAGAAAACCGATGAAGTCTCACAAGTCAAGGACTATGTACTGCTGAGTAGTTTTCTCTGGACAATGAACGACATTGGTCACAACCACTCCGTAAATACACTAATTCTAAGCTTACGCTTTTGTATCAAACGCCAAGCACATCAGCCTCCAATGATCGCCACCAAGTTTAAGTGTTTCCTTATGCTTTTGCCATTCAATCGGAATTCCACTGCATTGATCATTTGAACGGTTGATGACGTCTAGCATTATCGAGCACAAAGACCGTTTGCTTTTGAAGAGACTGATCTTAAGTTATTCTGGCCATTGATACTTAAGCAGCTTTGCCTGGCAAGGTCATTTCCGACTGAACGTCGCACATTCATTTATCCGCATATAAACACCCCTGGCAGGTCTTCAAATTCGGCCGTTGCTGTTTTCATTGGGTTATTTTACACTACCGACTGCGGATTCTACATTTTATTTCTAACTTTGAAGCAATCTGTTTTCTCTGATCAAGTCGCAAGTTCAATGTTGTCCTACTCCATCAACCATTCGAAAACCTTTCGTGTTACTGCCTTAAATCTGTGCCTAGTCTAATGTGGCCACAAAGTCAGGAACACTTGCAAACGTATTAGGAATAAATGTCCTGGAAAAAAGTGCAAGCATCATGCTGGATGGCAATCTGGCCTCAGTCATTGTTCTGTCGACAAAGCGCAAGTCTCACTGATACTTTCCAATAATGTTCGCTTGCTCCTTGGTAAAATCAGTGATCTCAGTGACATTATGCAGTGAAAGTGGTATGTTAATACAGGAATCATTCTGTTACCGGAATGCTGGTTGCATACTGATGTGGAAAATGTGGTAATTCAACTTGATGATTATGTTCCCATCAGGTATGACCGCCCCGGGAAGCCCCAGTTTCTTGGTGATGGCATTATAACACATTAATCAACGTTGATGCAACGCAGCAATCATAATATTTACGTACTGAAGGATTTCTAGAAACTGCCGTTTAGTTGAGTGCAAACCGAAGTTCCTAAATGCCTTTCGATCAATCGTTGGAAACGTATACCTTGCTCGTGACACATCTGCATCGGAGGTAAAGCTTTTGAAGACCAACTTTCTTCAAGGCTAATGCTTAAATTAGTTTGTTCTATCTGTATTGTTGCTGGCGCCTTCAATGGAAAAAATACAATCTTCTTGAAGACACTTGGCTTGATAGACCTAATGACTGTTTCGACCAAAAAAGATGACCAGTTAGAAGCTGTGTTCACAATTTATGGTCAGTTGTTTGCCATACAAAAGCGAGCTCCTATGAGCAGCCTACACCATTGTATCTTAAAACTATGTCCAATCATCTACAGCAGGTCTAATTTTTGACGCTGACCAGATGTCCTACCAAGATTATCAAAAGGCGAAATTGCTTCTTGGAAAATATCAGGAGGCTTCAGAAGATGTTTTCTTTAACTGGTTTTTCAGTTTTCATCAACCATGACCTTTTGCTCGAATATGACCATCTTACGGACGACAACAAATATTGTATTGACATGTGTTGCCCTGTTGAAACGATCTAGCTAAGAGCAGGTAGCTTTTCCTCACCACTATTAAAGCGACTTCGAAGGATGAATGAATGTGCCTACGAGTGTAAAAAATGCTAGCCTTGTCAAAAGCCTAACCACAACCATTAAATCCGAGATAAAAGACTAAGCCAATTATAGGTCGAAGCAGTTCTAGGCAACCATAACTCTCGCAATCTATGGAGGCTTCTGAAGCAGCTCCGTGGTAAGAGCGTTTGTAGCCGGAGAAGTGAAGTGGATGTGGATAAAATGAATTCGGAGTTTAGTTCCTCCTCACTACGTTCATCTTCCTTGCCCTCCTTCATTAGCTCAAGTCCAGCCGCACCCTTCGATCAAAGCAACGTTCCCAAGGAACTCAAAAGATTAAAGGTAACCAAAGCTTGTGGTCCGGATGATCTCTCACCATTAGCTTGGAAAGAGTGTGCCGATTCTCTCACACTGCCTTCAACAGATCTCCTTAACGAATGTTTCACTACGTGTATGATCCCGGATATTTGGAGAACTGCCAGTATCACTCCAGTACCAAAAAATGGATCTTAAAATCATTGTCCAAATACATGTACATCTGTACTAAACGTTTTCGAAATTCTGTTAACTCCGCGGAGATTTTTCAGCCACTCCTGCCGACGATATCTACCAGTTTGCGTATAAACCCCAGCGTTCCACATCGGATGCAGTGGCATATCTTGTCCGTTCTTTAGCCCCTGTATTAGATCAAAAATGTAAATCCGTACGGCTTCTCTTGCTGGATTATTTGAATGCCTTTGGAAGCCTAGATAGGTCAAAGTTGTTAAACCTACTATCCGAAAATGGAGTTTACCTTAGTTTGTTTAATCGGTTGCGTGACCATTTTACAGATCGTACTCACTTCACCAAGTTGAACGGTAAGAAATCCTCTTTCCTCAGTGCCGACTGCCATGTTCCACAGGGAGCGATCCTACCGCCTATTCTGTCTTCCTTGTATGTTGAACATCGCCTTATACAAACCACCTTTATAGGGTGTAAATATGCTGATGATGTGCTGATATGTATGTCACCCACTAACCAGGATTCCTCATAATTTCAACCTGGGTGGGGAGGTCTTGTTGAATGGCCTTCATCCAGATCTTTTACGCCTAATGCTTCTAAATATAGTGATGTAATATTTGCTTTTCTACGTAGCGATAAGTTGCAGTCCTCAACGCTTTCTCCCCACACTTACTGTGAATGAAAATCCCATACTCAGCCCTTCCACCGTCAAGTATTTCGTCCTCCTTTGTCCCAGAACCTTTCTTAGTCAACGTGTGTCTGTAAAACTTTTCAAGATGTCGGAAAACCTTCTTTTTATGCCCACAGACTAAAGGTGATTTCAGTACCTCCTACTTTAATATTGAGGTTTGTGACCTCTTGTATTGTTCCCCATTGGTTATACTGCTCTCCTGTCATTTTCCCTGGACTGCTTTAGAAATACTACGTCTTATTGATGCGATCTATAAAGCCCATTTCTAGATGCAGTGGCTTGTCTAGATATTCTTTAGTTGATTTGATCAATTCTAGACATCTTGATGCCTGCAAGGATCTTTCTCCTAGGATACTAACTGATCGATTTCATCCAATTCACAAGGATCTTTCCAAAACCTTCTCTTTCTTTGCTACTCGTTCGAAATTCAGCAGTTTATCCTCACGCACGTCATTGTATCGTAATACTGTCTTGCCTTATCTCTCACGTTGGCTTGTTGACACAGCAAAAGTCACTAACATGCTGCGCAAGCGGTTGTTGACGTAACAGTTCTGTTTTTCTCTACTTTGCTACCCAAGCATGTATAATGATATTATCATCCAGGTGTCCGCAGTGGTGGTGTAAATGCTGAAAATGAACCCACTACGGTTCAAGAAGCTTATTTCGACTTTAGTTTACTTTACTAGATAACACATAAGCTAACTGAATACATAGCAAACTGTTGAAATGACATCTGTCTTTGTCATTCTGGAATGCCTGAAGAGATAGTCCTGCAACTTGCACTAGTTCAGTCAGACACGGAGTGAGTTTACTGTGAAATAAAACGTAGTACACAGAAGTTTGCTACGCACAGCAATACCAGCTAGTACTAACACACAAGGTAATGGTTTCAAACGCGTAGAATTATCATGTACCGAATGTGCTAAAATAGGAGCAATTTCACTGACCGCCGTTTTAATCCGAGGATAGGGTTTTAGCCCACATTTGAGCGTGATAGTTGCTAGCCTACGAGGTCCTTAGTCACGCTGGCCATTAAGCGCTACATGTACTAATCGAACATCACTCGTGCTACTGCTCTTACTAAGCAGGAAATTTCAATAGAATATTCTTGTAATACTATTGCGCTCGTTATGCTAGTGGGAAGCAGACAGTAGTAGCAGTTACTAACCTGTAGTTTTTCCCCATCTTTTTTGCCTCAAATTCACAAAACGTCACTCGTGGAAAGTTTCCTGTTTCCGTCCACGCTTTGCCTTGAATCAGGTCGCGAAGCATGAGGAAACCGAACAGATGCGATTCTGCATCTAAAAATATTTTCATAAAACATATCTGTCCGACCAAATTGATAAGATAAAAAAGCTTCACCGTTGTGTAAAGATAGAACAGAAAACTGTTGCTACGCTGTGATCCTCGAAACCAATGGCACAGACATCCTGGAATTAAGCAGACCAAGGTCGATAACAGCCGAAATACAAACCAGAGAATACGGCCAAGCCTCTTTAGCATAATCATTGCTTGGCACCCCTTTGGGTGTGGTTGCCTTCGAGCATTTTTGGAAGCAGGCGGGGTCGGATGGCGCGTAACATGTCCCTCATATTTCTTGCTCTGATTCTTTGAAAAAGGTTCCGCATGCATTCTGGTAGAACAAAGACACAGGCAGTTTCCGTTCGTTTTGGTTATAGGCTTTCCACCAGGAGGAAGCAGCGATGAATGACAAGCTTCTATAAAAAAACGAACGGAACAGTCGAAATCGTTAACTGCTCAAATATGCCACGACTGTTCTCAGAAATATAATAGTGGATAAAGTTGGTGAAAAGCTTATGCTTAACACGTTCCATGGGATGGTCAAAATGAAAATAGTAAAAGCATTGACATGCGGGTCCGTAATTATGGACACTGATGAACACAACAAGAGGTTTCCGTGGTAACAACGTAAGGTTTAGTTGCGGTACGGAACCTCATGACAAACACAAGTTGTCCATAGACATGTAAAAGTCGCCATGCATGGTCATGGCTTTTGTTAAGTGTTGTTAATTTGTGGGGCGGAAACCTACTAACAGATGGCGTGGAGAAGAATTTACGACAACTTTACAGCAGGTTACACTGTGTTTCCATCTTTACATGCTGCCCCTACACGTTGACGTTGTGGGCGAGTTCCAGGGGGTAGCGGCAAAGGTGGTTGGAGGGTTCTTCAGAATCTGCAAGCCATTATGAGGTCATCCGAAGGCGTCAATAGAGAGCACCAGGGACTTCCAGAGATTTTAATCTAAATGGTTGTGAAGGATTGAATAAACGTTAACATTATTAGATGCTTTTCGTTACGGCGTCTGGAGAGCAGCATGGTAGCGCTACTGCCGCTTATGCCAGACACTGATGGCATATTCCACACAAAGTCAAGCCTAGACGTCAAAAATTCGTGAAGTTCAAGCAACCAAACCTTCTGCCTATAAAACTATATTGTTGTTGCTGATTTTCCACACCTTTTGAAGTGTTAGAAGAAATCGGGGTCTTCCTGAAGTGGTATCCGGAGGCTATGCTCCTGCGAGGTGTAGTCTCCAATTCTAAGTGCACGCGTCGGCTGATGCCGTATATGATCCACTTTATAGTTAGCTAGGTTAAACTGTAATGCGTACCTCTTGACTACCTAGGAACAGAATCCAGGTCACGTGGGAGGAAATCATGATCCCCCTTATTATTTAGGGGTGGCCATATTTCACCATCATGGTGAACGTAAGAAGTTAGAAGCCAGGCCCCTTGGAGGCTTGTTAATGAATACCAGCGATAAAGAACTTCCAAGCAGTAAACACCGTGAAACATTTCATTCCACCTCAGTTGGAACTGAAAGCGATCCTTGAGCACACACATGAAGCCTCCGCTTGCGAAGACAGTTATTAATGCATCCAAGAATAAGTATTCAGACTCGAAAACCATGAAGCCGGTGAAGCAGGATCCAGGGATCCAGTCAATCAAAATCTCCAGAATAGACTAAGTAGATGGCATCTTTCCCGGCCCCAACGTCGGCCTGTTCCGTGCAACTATGTCTTCATCAGTAGGTTGGTGTTGTACTGCGGTGTTGACAGAATCCACGCTGCGGCGGATCCTAGACGCCTCATTTTCCAACAACCCATTGGGACGCCGGAGTTTACCGCTTCACTCAACTTTGACAGCTAATGGAGGAGGGTCACTGAACGCTGGTTGGCAGGACCAATACGGACGCCTATTTTAATTATTTCGATAATTATACCCTTCATCTTCGTAATCGGAGCTTGTTACTCAACCCAGCTCCTTAGGAAAAATCGCGATAACATTCCGGTTACCTTTGTGGTTAAGACATCTAATTCTTTTGAGCGAATGGAATCTGCTTCAGGAGAATTTTGGGGATGTACTAAAAGCTAATAGATTAAGGAGTATGTGTAAATCTTAGGGTCGGTAAGATGGATGGTGGCGTTTGACACAGACAGAAGGCACCTTCGAATGTCTGGGCGTGGCATGGCCGCAGAACATCGGCGATTTCGTCGGCCTTTTGTTTAATGAGAGTTTTAGTGGTTAGAAAAGGGATGTCATGTTTCTCTTTAGGAAGTTCGCTGACATGTCGGTACAGAAACTTGTTATTAGCCCGAGGCTATTTGTCTGGACACTGTTACAAGTTACTTTATTCTCATGCACAAGTATGGTACAATGGCAGTGGTAGTTCAGCAAATTACCACTTGTCACCAAATAAGACTTGAGCTATTAGGCAAGCCATAATGTGTCGTTACTGCTTTATATTTTCGATTCTTGCTTCTGAAATGTGATCATACCCGTATGGAACAAATTGGCCTGATTGCTGATGCGCTGTCCAGAATTGTCAAGTGACACGCAGTTCGAGAACCACGTTTGGAAGCCTTGAAGAGTTATATTAATCCTTTTTGTCGTGTTGGTACTTATAAGTACCACTTTGTTTAAATTGTACTACTGCTTCAGTGCAAATGTCATTCATGCCGGTACTCGCGAGGATACATACATTAGCCTTCTGTCAACAATTAGGTAAGGGCAGAACTCGGAAACTTTGCTTTACAGTATTTGGACTAAACTGTTGTGGTTCATGTCGAGGTATAGGTAAATTACTTCAGGACTCAAAGGGTTACGACGCGGTGGAGTGTGGATGCATCAGTCAAGACCGCGTGTTCAGCTGATTATCTGCATAGCAAATATGGTCAAATGTTTTAACTGCATGATCAATGAGTTATACTGGACTTTCTATCAGCAGCTTTTCAAGTACCAGCGCTTCGTTTGTGAGAAGCAGTTCCATTGTTGCCGGTTTCTTTGCTGTTCAGAATCTAGTGGGTGTTGTGATATATTTATATAGAGGAATACTCGTGATAATTCACGCAGATTGGGTTTGAACTGTTTACTGGAAGGGACAGATATTACCAGCTCATGTACATTAAAATCCACTGAGATGAGGATACGGCTGTACCTAGGTAGTGTTACACTTCACAAGGCTAGTAACAAGCCAGAACCCATCGAAGTGGATTTGTGTGGAAGATATATGATACCAATGAGGTATATGTCGTTTTGTCTTAACCAAATACAGCACCAGAGTGAGTCAGTGACGAGGTTCCTCATCGTCCAATTTCTTACACTGCAAGTGTCGTTTTTACCATGCGGAAATCAGAATGAAGATTGGGCTGTGTTCAGAATCTATTTTGATCAGAAGGCAATATATTATTTACAGGGCAACCTACGCTCCGTTGCGCGATTCCGATTTGGTCATCTGGCATATTCCTCGATCGAGCCAATTGATCTTGGAGGCGTACAAGGCGATTCTCGCTCACGCGTGTAGGCGTTGCTGCTCTACTGGGGATGAACAACCGATCACGAGCGGCCACTTGCCCACTCGTTTTAAATGTGTAGGCGAATACCAACAGCTGCCAATACAATTCTCATGTCACAGCAGATCACTACGTTAGTAAAGGGAAATGCACCTACACTGCTAAAACATTTCGGATGTGGACATTGCTGTCATCTGGAATTCGGCACCAGCAATTTCTGGATGCAACCAGGTTTCAGTGGTTGACATGAGGTCCTATACATTTGTAACCTGACCCAATCAAAGTTCGATAAGTTTACTGAGTATCCATTGGACACTGGAGCACACGTGAAAACTTCTCAATTATAGTAATGTGTCGGATAACCTACTCACAAGAGACTCAGAAGAATGGTTGTGGAAGACTTGTGCATTGGTCTGTATTCATAGTATATATAGTCGCAATGTTAAGTCGAAAGACATGTATCGTGTACGATTTTGCGTTAGCCGGTGTAACGTCGGTCAACGAATCTTTGGTGCAGCATTCACAAAGTTAATTGCAAAGCGAAATAAGAAGACGAAGTCTGACAAACGCACGCATTTCGTATTGTCTCCTCAGTGCCTTTAACAATAACGCGATAATATTTATTCAGTGAAGGGTGCGACCAAACATAACTGCAAACAAACAAACAAACCAACACACGATAGGCGAGACAGCGTTATCACTCGTATGCCCAGGGCAGTCTAATGCTGAGCGATAATTGTTTCTAAACACAAAGTGGCGGCTTAATCCGGTTAATTGCAATCGCCTCTATGCCTTGCAGACAACTTACTATGCCGCCAAGGTTGTTGTCATTAACAAAACTCAAAAACTGTCACTTCTTTCTATAAAGGAGGCTCAGCCTATCGGGACCAAATTGCATTGCCTTTGCCGATTCATCTGTGACTGCGGCGCCAATTACATAGGCAGGATCGACAGAAAATAGAGTTCCCGAATGAAGGAGCATTAAGTTATGTGCGTTCAACGTTCGACCGCGCAGGAAACTGGTCAAGATCAAGCTGCTTGTCTGCGTAAGCAATCAGCCTCTTCGACTGGATGACACTTATTGTCCACAGGTCACCCAGCCCAGGTCACTTATGCGTTCATAATCCTATTACAGCACACCAATTCTCGCCTCCTGCGTGTCGCAGAGGCCATTGCAATTAACCGGATTAAGCCGCCGCTTTGTGTTCAGAAACAATTATCGGTCAGCATTAGGCTGCCCTGGGGATACAGGTGATAACCCTGTCGCTTATCCTGTTAGTCTGTGGGGAAACTTATTGAGCTGGAGAACGCGATGGCTGCACGTCTGTGTGAAATGAACTGCAATGTCACAGTGGGCAACCTGTGGCACCACATTCGCGACCAGATGACAGCAGCTGCCGAAGAGATTATCGGGCGCGCAAACTGTAAGCGGCCTGATTAGTTTGATGAGAACAATGTGACGACTGGCACATTGGTGTGTGAGAAGAATACAGCATTTGCTGCGTATGTGGCAGACCCCGTGACTTGGGGAAGAGTAGTCAGTTTCGCATACTTCGACGGCGACTGAGCCGAGAGCTCCGTCGCATTAAAAATGCATGGTGCACGAAAAAGGCGAAGCAGATGCAATGCTACGTCGAACGCCGCCAACACAAGAAATTCTTTCACTCCTTGAAGGCGGTGTATGGACCGAGATTGGAGCCGCTGAGAACGCTGATGGATGGTAGTTCAGGCGCTACCTGCACACAGAATGCAGACATGATGCCGATCTGGCAAAAGCACTTTGACTGTTTCTTGAACAACCGTTCAGAGATCGACTGACCCTAGTTGAACGGCCACAAGCAGCATGATGTGAAGGCGAGGCGGGCGGACACACCGACACTGGATGAGAAATAGGCAGCACTTGTTCA